AGTGGCAGTTATGGAAACATATCTAAAGAAGTCTCGAAATAACAACAAGGCTGTGTCTGAGAAGTGCGTTCGAAACAGAGAAGTACCAAAGCATTTGAAATTCAAATGGAAGCGGGACATTCGAAGTTTGAAATTTATGTGCTGGAGCATTTGGAGACATGTGGAAAGAAGAGAGAGGCATTGTTCTGCATGTTCTAAACGTGGCATAATCCTATAGCAAGACCGTTATGGTCGAATTAGTATAAATAGAAGTCTTAGTATTAGGATTTCGTGTGTCATATCTATTGTACTAAATACTCAGTAACATTCAAATTACCACATGGCAAGGGAAACGAATGCAAGAGCAATGTACGTATGATAGCACCACATATTTATCAGTTAATGAAAACCTTTTATCATTTCCAGCACTTTCCTTTATCTTTCTGCCAAATAGCATTTACAAGTTTTCTCATTCAAAGTCTTTTTATTTCGAAATCTCTCCATTAAAGTTTTACATTTCAATGCTTTCTTTACATTTCAAGCACTTTACCTTTCAGAAAACTGTCATACTTTTCATGCTTTTATCTTCAAGTTTTGTCTTTCGAAAGTCTATTTTTACTTAAAGTCATTTACAGATTTCTTGCATTAAACGCTTTCTTCATATTTCAAATCTTTTACGTTCCAGAGCATCTTTTACATTAACTGTTTTTATAATTCGAAGCCATTTACTTGCCTTTTTATGCAATTTTATGTGTCTTTACAATTAACATTTATTCATGCAATTTAGTTTCGTACACACATATTTTGATTACACCTTTAGATCTTTAAGAGAGAAATCGAAATAAGCCAAACACCTATACAACACTCAAATACCAACCATGAATATCTGTTCGATCATGAGAGTTACCCTAATGACCAAGGAATCCTAGGATCAATCTAGTCGATCCTGTGAGTTACCAGAGAAATTGAATAACAGTCAGTAAGTTTATTCGATAGTTTGGAAGACTAGCGGTTGTTTACCAGAAATCACTGGAAACAACACTGCAGACAGATGTTACCACACTCTGAGGCGAGCTTGCCACTGTTAAAGACAATGTCAGCACACTTCGGCGTGACTTCTTTCATTTCATGGACGTCGTCACGGAGCAGTTTGATCATATTTATCAGCATTTGCACGCTTCTGCACCACCTCTAGGAGGCCCTCATGCTTGATAGTTTTTGTTTATGTGCCGCCCCAGTGACGACATTGTTTGTTCTTAGTATGGGGGGGGGGGGGGGTTCATTATTATTCTCAAAACTCATTATGGTTTTATTATTTTCGAATAATTTGTTACTTTTCGGTTCTAAAATTTCGATTATTTATTCATCTATTCATTTCATATCCATCTTTTTATTTTATTTTAAAGTATTTATTTATTTTCATTCACAATATGTATTTATTTTTATACTATGCAATTTCTATTAGTATTTTCATTTGTTTCTTATTTCTGTTACTATTTTTATTTGCTTCTTATTTACCATATCATTCTTCCAATTCTACTATGTATGAGGCATGAAATGTGATGCTTGTGCTTGGATTAATGCGAATGAATATGATGAAGATTTATTCGAATGTCTTATTCACTTGGATTCTCTTTTATTATTCATTATTATTTTTCAAGTTTTACTTTTTTATTGGTGAGCACCTCAAGATAAATACGCGAATGAAATACTGAAACAAAGTACTTTATTGAATAATAACCATTATCCTTGCAAAAGGGAAATACAATCCAAATACTGAAACAAATACTAAATGGGAAATACTGAAAATTGGAAATCAAAATCAAATGTCAAGTACTGAAAGAAATAACAAAAGGAAAACTAAAATCTCCTAAGTGTGCTTGCGGATATCTACCCTAAAAGCATCAACCATCTCCCTACAAAGCTTAAGGAAGTCTTCAACGTCCTTCGGAAGAGGGACCATCACAACTTCTGCATCTCTTAAGCTTCTAGGAATGTCATCAATGAGATTGTTCGCTAGAGAGGAAATTTTTGTATGCTTGTCTTTGTATCTCAGATACTCCTTGTATAGTGTCGGAATTATGATCTTGTTATCTTCTCCCGCTTGAACAATCTTTGTATATTGTTCTTCTCAATACATCTTTTCATCCCTCGTCTCCTTATAGAGTTCCCTTTGAATGAGGAAGTCTTTTGGGAGGCCTTCTAGTTCTTGACATATTTGTTCATATTCTCCTATCTTTTAGGCAAAAAGTCTTTCTGCCCTTATCCTCTTGAGGCATTCTCCTACATATGATTCTTGGATATCTTGGAGACTTGTAGTGAGAAACTGGATTTTCTCTTCTTATTCTAGAGCTCCTTCTGCTAGCCCTTGGATTTGGGCTCTCAGATTCTTTTCCATCTCCTTTTTGTCTTGTAGTGCTTTTTCATACCACCTTTTTAGTCTTTCAATTTCTCTTGTCGCATCATCCAAATGTTGGTTGTGGGAATCCAAGTTTAAAGTAGCACTCAATAACCCTTCAGTCGAACGCTTTCTCTTAAGACTCTCCATTTCAAATACCTCACAGTCTTTTTGAATCTGTTGATATTTTAGCTCAAACTCTCGTTGCAATTGATTCTTCTCAATAACAAGGTCATAAAGGCTATGCTTTAATCCCTTCTTTTCTCTTTGATCTTTCTCTAAGGCACTTTTCAAATTTTCTATTTCCTCTATTGACACCGGAATATGATTTGGTACATCTGGTGTGTAGGTAGGATCAACAACAAATGGTAACTTGACTATTTAGACTCATTCCAAAACCCATTGAGTATAGGGCTCCCTTGCCACAACATTCTTTATTCTGAATCCTTTCTTATGAACTCTATTCCAAGCTTGGATGATCTTATTAAGTAATTCAAAGTTATTTTTATCCATGTCATGAAGAATTAACTGTTGAAGTTTCTCGTCTGAAGGTTTATCTTCCAAAGGGTATCCAAGTTGGCATAAAGCCAAAGTGGGACTATAGTTAATACACCCTCTTGAACCAATCAAAGGAACATTGAGAAAATCTCTGCAGTTAAAAACAATTTCCTCTATCTTCAATTTTCTTGAATACCATAAGACATAATCAGGTGAGAGCTCTCAATTTTTGGGACAATTGATTTCGAGTTAGATCTTTGACCATATAGTCCTCTTTGTAGAGATGAGAGATAAGCCAAGAGTATAAGATATGGATACAAAAATTTAGCACGCCTCTCCCTTTTTCAGAACAAATATGAAGAGTGTAATAAACATCCGCGAGTAAAGTGGGAATATGATCAACATTTAACACCTTTATGGCCCAAAACACACTAATAGCAGCAAGATCTATGTAATCCACAATATGCGGAAAAATAATCAAACCAAATATAAACAACACCAAACAATCTACACAAGGTCCCCATTCTTTCTTATTAGCAAAACAAAGAGCTTTGGACTCCAAACACAGTCTTTTAATCCCTTGAACTCCGCCATCTTTCTTGTAATTGAGCAATAAGTTAGTAAAGGGTATTTCAAATTCCTTAGCCAAATCTCAGACATTGATAGTATTCTCAATCCACATGTAAGGTTCATCCTTAATTCTAGAGAAATCCAAAATCCTATCAAATTCCTCCAAGGTAGGTACTAGTTGAAAATTCTGGAAAGTGAAACACCTTAGCGGAGGGTCATAGAATTGAGCAAGGGTTGTGACGGATTCCTCTTGCACAGTTAATTTGGTCAACTCAAGGATATCTCCATAGCATCGAACAAACATTTTCATAGCACTCTCAGTCAATTTTCCCTTAATCGGCTTCATTCTTTTCATATTAGGAATCACGATACTAACTCGAATGGTTTGTTTTCTATTGTCTTACCTCAATTTTTTCCGCCCTTAGTGCTACCGTCAAATTTATTTTCAAACTTGGGTTTTAAAATTCCTTTGGTTTAATTACATTAACATTGGGGTTTTAATAAATATTCGCTTTCGAGTCTATTTAAAAATATAATTATTTGTATTTTTAAAAAAATAGAAAATAGTTGTTCGTCTTCATATACTTTCAATTGGATTTTTATTTCAAATAAATAACATAGCACAATTGGTAAGGAAGCATAGCTTGGAGCATAAGGTCATGAGTTTGAATCTCTTGTGGTGCACTTTTAACATTTTGTCTATTCCTTTTTGTTGTCACTAATTTTCTTTCTTTTTTTGGAGATCCGGCTTTTCATTTATTTTGAATCACTTAGTCTCCAAGCATTTTTAACCTAATTCTAAGTCTATAAATAGAACTCATTGTTGTCCTAATTTTTCATCAACAATTTTATCAAGAAATCAACAATCATCCACAACACAAACTTACTATCTTGCTCTTACAATTCTTCTTACTTTAGGGTTATTGAATGTATCAGACAATAATATCATTAACAATTTTCATCAACAATCTCTTACAATTTCTCTACATACACTATCAAGCCGTTTTTCAAATATTTTTCTTCACACACTTGTTTTCAAAACTTCTTTGTTTCAAAACAATTTTTGACCAATGATTAAATATGAGGCCACCTTTTAATTTTATTTTATCCTTTTAATTTTAATTTGTTTTCTATTTTACATGTTAAACTGATGGTTCTTTTTTCTTAAATTTTTGTATCAACAATTTTTTTATCCGCATATTAGGATTCACACACTGAGTTTCACTTGTACATCCATTTTCTAAGTTTGTTCCTAGAATATAATTTACACTTACCTTTACATAAGTTTTCTCATTAGAATAATATTACATTTTAACATAAAATTTTTAGATTTCCTTCTGTACGCAACTTATCATCCTGTTTCTACCGTGTCATGTTATTTGTAACATTAAACCATAGTTCTAACAACAACAAATGAATTTGAGAAAATAGAAGAAAGGGAGTAAAATAGAGGAAGTTGGAAACTAAGGAATTTCGCTGTCAACCAACCTCCGCATCCGCGCCCTTCAGCCGTAGCCACCATCAGACCCACGAGTCACTCAGTCTGCCGCCCTTCATGTGCTGGAATTCGTTGTGCAACACTCAACTCGTCCGACGAAGCAACAAGCCGCGATCTCCTTTCCTCGTCACTCCAGGATGCCTCTGCCGTAACCCACATCATAGATCCGCCATAAGTCGCCGAAAACCGATGAAGGCCAGTCGTGAAGGAGCTCTTTCGAACTCTCGCCTCCATGACCATAGGTACGATCTGGATTTCCAATCGATTTGTGTGTTTTTGTTGTTTGTTTTTTGTATTTGAAAAAATAGAAAACTTTGAGTGAGAATAAATTGAAGGAAGAGAGAAGAAGATATTACGTCGTGTTGCCTCTGTTCCACAATCTGCTTTCTTTTCCTTTCTTAATACTATGCCTTAAATTTTTAATTGGAAATAGAAATGTGTCATCTCCCTATTAGTTGTTGTATTTATGTTGAAAGGTCAGAAATTTGCTTTATGTTACAACGAGTGTTTTAAAATCCAGTCCGACCTGGCCGGTCGGACCGGTCTGACCGAGAATCGATGGGTCAGGCGGTCCGATTAAATGATAAGATCGGAATTACATTTATATCGGATGAATCCGGTGTGAATCGGCCGGATCACCGGTTAAACTAGTGAACCGACAGTTTTTACTGAACCGGCGGATTTGACTATTTAGGGCTTTTGAAAAAAAAATAACATAAATGTTTTGCCTCTTCGTTTCCAAAATCTAGGCATTTGAAATATTTTCTTTTTTATTCTGTCTTTTCTTTTTCTAATTGAAGTCATATTCTCAATTTTCTCTACCAACAAAAACTCTCACTTGCTGCTTTTATTTGATATTCCTTGTTTGCCGTCAAAAATTTCATCAAAACATCAAAAACAGGTTATTTCTTTTTTACTTGGTCTAATTTGCATTGATGTTTTTCAATATGAATATTATTGTTTCATTTTGTTGATTAATTGATATAGAAAATAAATGATTAAATTTAATCATTTTCTATAAAATTTGGTCTTTTAGCTTAACAAATTGAGATAGAATTTGTATGAATGAAGCAGTTTTATACTTTTATGAATTAACTTATTATAGACTGGTAATGAAGTTGTTGTATATTGGAGATAGAAATTGGGATAGATATATATTACTGTAATAGTCGTTGTATATATTATGGAGATAGAAATTGGGTTTAAAACTATGTAATCTAAATTATATAGTAAGACAAAGTTTTCTGTTTTTTATTAATTTAAATTATATAACAAAGAAAAGTTTCAGGATTTTATTAATCTAAAATATATAGAAAAGGCTGGAAAGAAAAGTTTCAGGATTTTATTAATCTAAAATATATAGCAAAGGCTGGAAAGCAAAGTTTTTTTTTTTTATATATGGTGATGCACAATAACGATGCTTGGTAGCCTATATGTAATATACAACAACATATTCATATATTTTGGATTTAGATATGCTACATATTTAATGTTTCTTAGAATGTTTTTATAAATTCAATAATTTTTGTTTAGAATTGTGTTTTGTTAATATTTTTGTAATATAGTTTTGTATTTTTAAATTTTGATTGATATTAGATATGACATCACCCGCTGAAGTAATAACTTCGGAAGAAGTTACATCTCAAAATCCAACCCAACTCCAGAGCAGTAGGGGAAAAACTGATATAACTTTGGGTCATTGTAAACAAATTGAAGAGAAAGGAAAACTTGCTAATTTGTGTATTTACTGTGATAAAATTATTAGAGCAGGGGGGATTAATAGGTTCAAAATTCATTTGGCTGGAATAAAAGGTCAAGTTGAAACATGTAAAAAGGTGCCTCCAGATGTTCAATATCAAATGAAACAAAATCTTGATGAAGGTGCAAATAAGAGAAGAAAGACTCAAGCACAAAATTTTGATGTTGATCTTACTACTCAAGAGGGTGGTGTTGTAGAAATGGATGTAGAACAATCAAGATCAAATTCGGTGATTGTATCTCAAAAGAGAAAGAATACTAGTCGTATTGGTAATTATTTTTTGCCTAGAACAACTCCTAGAGCTCAACCTTCTTTAAAAAGTGTGTTACAAAGTAAGGAATTGGTGGAGAAGTGTGATCTAGCTATTGAAAGATCGTTCATTGATTCTTCTGTGCCATTCAATGCAGCTAATTCTGCGTATTTTCAATATATGACTGATGTACTTTGCAGCATGAGTCCGGGGTATAAAGATCCAACTATGCATAGTCTTCGTGGCTATTTGTTAAATAAATGGGTTGAAGATGTGAACAAATTGATAGAGGAGTGTCGTGAGATTTGGAAGAAAACTGGTTGTACTCTAATGGCCGATGGATGGACTGATCGAAAAAGAAGAACTCTTATAAACTTTCTAGTTTATTGTCCCAAGGGTACTATTTTTCTAAAATCCGTTGATGCTTCTCATGTTTCAAAAACTGCAGATATGTTGTATAAGCTTTTTAGAGAGGTGGTTTTATTTGTTGGGCCTGAAAATGTAGTTCACATAGTGACAGATAATGTTGCAAATTATGTTGTTGCTGGAAGGTTATTAGAAAATGAGTTTCCTACTTTATTTTGGTCTCCTTGTGCGACACATTGCATTAACTTGATGTTGCAAGACATGGGAAAATTAGAGGAAGTAAGTGAGACAGTGTCACATGCTTCTAATGTTACCAAATATATTTATAACCATTATTATGCATTGTATTTAATGAGAAAGCAAACAGGTGGAAGAGAAATCCTTCGTCCTGCTCCAAATCGGTTTGCCACTAATTTCATTTCTTTGCAAAGAATTTTGTCTCACAAAAACTCACTAAGAGCCATGGTAACATCTAAAGAATGGACAAGCTCAGCATATGCCAAAGAAGCAAAGGCAAAACAGTTTGTGGATCAATTTTTAGATTCTGGATTTTGGAGTAAATGTGATGATGTAGTTAATCTCACTGAACCACTTGTGCGTGTGTTGCGTATTGTTGATAGTGAAGATAAACCTGCTATGGGCATTCTATACAAATCTATAGTCAAAGCTATAGAGGAGATGGTGAGGAGGTTTCAAATAAATAAGAAGAAAGTGGATCCTTACTTGAAAATCTTAGATAAATGTTAGGATTCACAGCTCCGCAAAAATCTTCATGCTGCCGGTTATTGGTTGAATCCAGCTTGTAGATATAATGATGTAGAATTTGAAAAACATGCATCCACAACATCAGGACTTTTAGATGTCATTGAAAAGCATGCTAATGGAAATTCTGAACTTCAATTGAAGTTAACAGATGAGATAAGAATATTCAAAGACGGTGAATTAGATTTTGGAAGGAAATCAGCCGTGGATGAACGATGTATTGTGAGGACAGGTAATTTCATAACTTCTAACTCTTGATATATATTTTATTTTATATTTCAATATGTTTATAAATTTATTTAATCACGTGGTATAAACAGATCAATGGTGGGAAACTTATGGCACTTGTACACCAACTTTGCAAAGGTTAGCTATTCGTATTCTAAGCCAAACTTGTAGTGCTTCGGGTTGTGAACGCAATTGGAGTATATTTGAGCATATTCATTCCAAAAAAAGAAATAGATTGGAGCACCAAAAGCTTAATGATTTTGTGTTTATTCGTTACAACTTGAGACTTCAAAATATGTATTATTATGGTTATTTTTCTCTGATTATTATATTTTTATATTTAAATACATATACTTAGATTTAATTCATGTGTACTTAGGAAAATAAGAAATGGGAGTTATGATCCTATCAATATTGAAACAATTGCCGACCATTCTAGTTGGGTATTAGAGGATTCACCACCTCTCTTAACCAATGAAGAGTTGGAAGCATTGCGGAATGACCTTGCAAATATGACCATCCAACCAATTTCAAGTGATATTGGTATGTTCTAATATGAGTATAATATAGTTTGTGGTTGTGAATCAATTTAATGTCTCATATTTACCATCTATAGATTTTTTTTGTTAATTATTTTTTAAAATATTGTTATAGATCAAATAGATTTAGATGAGGATGAAGATGGAGATATGGGTAATGCATAAGATACTATTGTTGATACTGTGAATCAAGAAAAAAGCAACACCAGAGAAGATGAAGTTGGTGGAGAAGACAATGAAGTTGAAGATGGATATGAATATCAAGATTATGACAATTTGACTTCATGGACATAAAAAATTATGGATCGTTAAGTATGGATTTTTGTGACTTATTATAATACTATAACTTATAAATTGTTAAGTTTCTATCACTTCTTTGAATTTATAATTTTCTACATTAAGTTTCTATCACTTATTTTGATTGTTACTAATACTTTTGTTTATTCTAAATTATTTGAATTTATAATTTTCTATATTATTATTATAGTTACAAATTTCAGGTAGTGAATATATTTTTTATAGAAACCGGGTCAAAAGCCATGCGGTCTGACCAGTGACCCACTGGTCCGACCAGTAACCCGGTGACCCAGTAACTTTACCGAGTCGATCACCGGTCTGGGTTTTAAAACATTGGTTACAACCGATATGGGCTCTCCACATGCTACTTCTTATTCTTTTTTTTTGGTGAAACGTGAAGTCATCGGATATAGGGATAAACCATCGAATATGGTGAAACGTGATAATCCCCATCTTGTTTTTTTTTTTGTTTTTTTTGTCAAATTTATTTAGAATTGGGGATAGACCTATGAAACAATCAGCTGAACATTTATCAGATATAAATTCAATGAAATTACTGTCAAACGTCTTTTATCTCGCCGAAAAGAGAATGGTAAACATCGAGTGAACCTGAAGAGGGTGAAATCACGGTCTTTCGACCAGGAAATCGGGTAAGGGAGTCGGTTACGCGAGGGGAAGGTATTAGCATCCCTCACGTCCGTAGTACTCTACGGTAACCACTCGTGTTTGTTCTAATCTAAGGGTGTGGTCAAAATCTATGTTTAAGGCTTAAAGGTGAAAAAGAAAGATGCAAAGAAGGAATGCATGCAAAAGAAAAAACACGGGGAAAAGAATGAAATAATTACAAAGTTCGTTCGGCTGAGCCCCGTGACCAAATGCCTACGTATCCCTTTTAAGGAATCAGAGCGCCGTAGTTTGACTCACATATTTTGGTTAGTTTGTGGTTCTTAGTTAAAAAGACAAAGCGACAATCAAGATGGAAAAACATCAGATAAAATGACAAAACATCAACAACAATGATAAAACATCAAAACAAGGACGACAAGATATTACATGGCAACACAAACTCATACAAGATGATAACAAAATATCGAATAAGATGATAAAACATCAGCATGATAGTAAAATATCATATAAGATGATAAAACATCACACCTAACAATAATATTGAAAAATCAAAGTAGGATAACAAACATATGCGATGACGAAACATCGGCAAAAAGATAGTAAACTATCATGGTAAAGATGATATACATTACAATTTAGATGATAAAACATCACACATAACAATGATATTAAAAAATCAAAGTAGGATAACAAATATATGTGTTGGCGAAGCATAAACACAAAAATAGCAAAGCATCATGGCAAGGATGGAGAAACATCAATTTAGATGATAAAACATCAAACCTAACAATGATATTGAAAATCAAAGTAGGATAACAAACATAAGTGATGGCAAAACATCGACACAAAGATAGTAAAATATCATGGTAAAGACGACAACAAGATTATAACTTAAAAAGGGTTTAAAACAAAACCAAAAGACGCACAAACAATGAAGATTGGTTTGTGTTTTTTACCTTGAAGAAGGATTTAAGTTCAGTAGAGATGTTTTATGATTTTCTAAGAAAAAGAAAGTTTTTGTTTTAAGATGCAATATCCAAAGAAAAGAAAACAACTAAGGGAGACTATCCTAATATCTAGCCCTAGTGTAATCATACAATGATGGCCTTACGGTTGAGTTTTGAAAGGGAAATCTATGACCTATGTTAGCATGCATAGATACATATCCTAATGTCTTAGCTCGAGAGCTACTCTAATCGGGAGATCCTAAGGGAAGTATGGAATAGCAAACAAGTAAGCAAACAAGTGCTCTAGAAAAAGCACACAATCGAGATATACTGACTTCAGGGGATGGGGGTATGAAGAGAAAATGATTTAGCTAAGGGGAGCGAATCACCAAAGAAAACAAGCGGGAGACTGAGATAAAATTAAAAAGAAAAGCATTACTTTAGCTAAGGGAAGTGGATCACCCGAAGCAAACAAGCGGGTAGCGAAGTATCAACAATTGAAGGGTGAGAAAACACTTAGAAGGGGGGGGGGGGGGGGGGGTTGAATAAGTTTTTTTTATTTTTCTTGCGCAATACTTTTGGAAGGACACTGGTATTTTTATCCTAGTTCGTTTGAAACTCAAACTACTCCAGTCCATCCGCCAAGGTGATTCGCCTCTCTCAACGAGGACTTAATCCACTATAATCAAACTGATTACAAGTGCACAACCAAACTGGTGTGACTAACAATATAATGCACAAGCCAACTGCAAGTGACTAACACCTCTAAGACTCAAACTAGTCCTAACTGAAGGGGTAAGAAAACACTTAGAAGGGGGGGTTGAATAAGTGACTCTTTTT